TGATAATAACAGTAACAGTGATAGTCATAGTAAAAGTAATAGCAATGGTAGTAATAATACTAGCACTAGTAGTATAATATTCATAGTTAGAATAATAATAATAATAGTAATAGTCATAATCATAGTAATAGTCATATTAATAGTACTAGTACTAGTACTAGTACTAGTACTAGTACTAGTACTAGTAATAGTAATAGTAATAGTAATAGTAATAGTAATAGTAGTAGTACTAGTAGTAGCAGTAGTAGCAATAGTAATAGTAATAGTAATAGTAATAGTAATAGTAATAGTAATAGTAATAGTAATAGTAATAGTAATAGTAATAGTAATAGTAATAGTAATAGTAATAGTAATAGTAATAGTAATAGTAATAGTAATAATAGTAATAGTAATAGTAATAGTATAGTAGTAGCAGTAGTAGCGTAATAGTAATAGTAATAGTAGTACAATAGTACTATAGTAATACTAGTAATAGTAAGTAGTAATAGTAATAGTAATAGTAATAGTAAGTAACAGTAATAGTATAGTAGTAATAGTAATAGTAATAGTAATAGTAATAGTAATAGTAATAGTAATAGTAATAGTAATAGTAATAGTAATAGTAATAGTATAGTAATAGTAATAGTAATAGTAATAGTAATAGTAATAGTAATAGTAATAGTAATAGTAATAGTAATAGTAATAGTAATAGTAATAGTAATAGTAATAGTAATAGTAGTAGCAGTAGTAGCAATAGTAATAGTAATAGTAATTGTAATAGTAATAGTAATAGTAATAGTATCAGTGATAGTAATAGTAATAGTAATAGTAATAGCAGTTGTAAGAGTAACAGTACTAGTAATAGTATTGGTAAGAGCAAAAAACTAAAAAAATCAAAAAAATCCTGGATCCCCAGGTCCCGGGGAGGCGATGCCTGGCCGTTGCGCCCCTCCCCTGAGGGTCTCCGGCCTGGAGCGCTTGATCATCCCTGTGGGAGCACCCTGGAATTTTTTGAGTTTTTTGATTTTTTTCATTTTTTTGAGTTTTTTGAAAAAGGCAAAAAAATCAAAAAACTCAAAAAAACTTTTTTGATTTTTTTGAATATTTTCAATAAGTCAAAAAAATCAAAAAACTCAAAAAATTCAAAAAAATCAAAAAAATCCTGGATCCCCCGGTCCCGGGGAGGCGATGCCTGGCCGTTGCGCCCCTCCCCTGAGGGTCTCCGGCCTGGAGCGCTTGATCCTCCCTGTGGGAGCACCCTTGATTTTTTTGAGTTTTTTGATGTTTTTCATTTTTTTGAATTTTTTGAAAAAGGCAAAAAATCAAAAAACTCAAAAAAACTTTGTTGATTTTTTTGAATTTTTTCAAAAAGGCAAAAAAAATCAAAAAAATCAAAAAACTCAAAAAATTCAAAAAAATCAATAAAATCCTGGATCCCCCGGTCCCGGGGAGGCGATGCCTGGCCGTTGCGCCCCTCCCCTGAGGGTCTCCGGCCTGGAGCGCTTGATCCTCCCTGTGGGAGCACCCTGGATTTTTTTGAAATTTTTGATTTTTTTCATTTTTTTGAGTTTTTTGAAAAAACCAAAAAAAAGCAAAAAAACTCAAAAAAATTGTTTTGATTTTTTTGAAGTTTTTCAAAAAGGCAAAAAAATCAAAAAACTCAAAAAATTCAAAAAAATCAAAAAAATCCTGGATCCCCCGGTCCCGGGGAGGCGATGCCTGGCCGTTGCGCCCCTCCCCTGAGGGTCTCCGGCCTGGAGCGCTTGATCCTCTCTGTGGGAGCACCCTGGATTTTTTTGATTTTTTTCATTTCTTTCATTTTTTTGAGTTTTTTGAAAAAGGCAAAAAAATCAAAAAACTCAAAAAAACTTTTTTGATTTTTTTGAATTTTTTCAAAAAGGCAAAAAAATAAAAAAATCAAAAAATTCAAAAAAATCAAAAAAATCCTGGATCCCCCGGTCCCGGGGAGGCGATGCCTGGCCGTTGCGCCCATCCCCTGAGGGTCTCCGGCCTGGAGCGCTTGATCCTCTCTGTGGGAGCACCCTGGATTTTTTTGATTTTTTTCATTTTTTTGAGTTTTTTGAAAAAGGCAAAAAAAGCAAAAAAACTCAAAAAAAACTTTTTTGATTTTTTTGAATTTTTTCAACAAGGCAAAAAAATCAAAAAACTCAAAAAACTCAAAAAAATCAAAAAAATCCTGGATCCCCCGGTCCCGGGGAGGCGATGCCTGGCCGTTGCGCCCCTCCCTGAGGGTCTCCGGCCTGGAGCGCTTGATCCTCTCTGTGGGAGCACCCTGGTTTTTTTTGATTTTTTTCATTTTTTGAGTTTTTTGAAAAAGGCAAAAAAATCAAAAAACTCAAAAAAAAAAATTGATTTTTTTGAATTTTTTCAAAAAGGCAAAAAAAATCAAAAAACTCAAAAAATTCAAAAAAATCAAAAAAATCCTGGATCCCCCGGTCCCGGGGAGGCGATGCCTGGCCGTTGCGCCCCTCCCCTGAGGGTCTCCGGCCTGGAGCGCTTGATCCTCCCTGTGGGAGCACCCTGGATTTTTTTGAAATTTTTGATTTTTTTCTTTTTTTGAGTTTTTTGAAAAAGGCAAAAAAAAACAAAAAACTCAAAAAAACTTTTTTGATTTTTTGAATTTTTTTCAAAAAGGCAAAAAAATCAAAAAACTCAAAAAATTCAAAAAAATCAAAAAAATCCTGGATCCCCCGGTCCCGGGGAGGCGATGCCTGGCCGTTGCGCCCCTCCCCTGAGGGTCTCCGGCCTGGAGCGCTTGATCCTCTCTGTGGGAGCACCCTGGATGTTTTTGAGTTTTTTGATTTTTTTTCATTTTTTTGAGTTTTTTGAGAAAGGCAAAAAAATCAAAAAACTCAAAAAAACTTTTTTCATTTTTTTGAATTTTTTCAAAAAGGCAAAAAAATCAAAAAATTCAAAAAATTCAACAAAATCAAAAAAATCCTGGATCCCCAGGTCCCGGGGAGGCGATGCCTGGCCGTTGCGCCCCTCCCCTGAGGGTCTCCGGCCTGGAGCGCTTGATCCTCCCTGTGGGAGCACCCTGGATGTTTTTGAGTTTTTTGATTTTTTTCATTTTTTTGAGTGTTTTGAAAAAGGCAAAAAAATCACAAAACTAAAAAAAACTTTATGATTTTTTTGAATTTTTTCAAAAAGGCAAAAAAATCAAAAAATTCAAAAAATTCAAAAAAATCCTGGATCCCCCGGTCCCGGGGAGGCGATGCCTGGCCGTTGCGCCCCTCCCTGAGGGTCTCCGGCCTGGAGCGCTTGATCCTCTCTGTGGGAGCACCCTGGTTTTTTTTTTCCCCTAAACCCTCCCCTGAGGGTCTCCGGCCTGGAGCGCTTGATCCTATCTGTGGGAGCACCCTGGATGTTTTTGATTTTTTTGATTTTTTTTCATTTTTTTGGTTTTTCCGCTGGTCTCTGGGACAAGACCGACCAGGTCTATTTGGAAGATGCTTTCTTCTTTTCGTAATTACATTTAAGTGTACATTCCCCTTATTAAAGACGTAAGAAGGAGCTTCCAAATAGACCCGGTTTTGCTCACACACGGGGGGGGGGGGGGGTACCTAAATGGATTTTCCATTTTGGACCCCCACTCCCCTTAAGGGCGGGGTCATCAGTCATGTAAACTGTAGGGTTTGGGGGGTTAGGGGTTTAGGGTTTAGGAGTTGAGGGTTTGGGGAGATGAATCTTAAACGGTAGTTAGGATCTTTGGTATGAGAGTTGCTACGATTAATGTTGGGAGATGGAATAGTAGTTATGACCCGTGTGATTGTGACACTGACTATGGTCATCGTTATGATGACAATGATCATGATCAGCAATATGAGCATGGCTCGGATTTTTATGGTGATTATTGATGTCACTGTTCTGGCCATTACTATGGTCACCATTATGATGATCACCGGTCGTTGCGATGATAGCCGATTATACACACACACGGAACCCCAAGCTATCTGTGCGCTGCAGGTTGGTGGAAGTCATCGCCGATCTCTCCTACAAAGGTTTCAAGGCTGCCACACTGTCGGGTGCAATGTTCATCAGCACAGGTTGGCAGATTGTTTGCATGAACTTCGAGATCTTGCGAGAGTTACTAGAGTTGATGGAAACGAAAACATCGCGAAGGCTTAATCCAATTGATGCGTTAACCCGTCCCCAAACCCGCATGTTGAACCCTAAGCCCCGTACTAAAAACTAAAACTCATGTCAAAAGGGCTTTCGGGCATATGGGGGGGGAATTGGGAGAGCGTTGCAAGGTCGTCCTTGTCTCTTCTGGAGCAGTTGGCATGGGTTGCCGCGAGCTGGGATTGATGCTCCAGCAGCAAAGGATGGGGATTGCCATGGGGACTTTTACTGGAGTAGGGCGGAGGGGTTACGGTTTTGGGTTTAGAGATTAGGGTGTAAGGTTTGGGGTTTGGAGTTTTTGTTTTTCGGGTTCGACGGTTTCAGGTTTAGAGATTCGGGCCGGAGGGTTTAGGGTGTTAAGGTTTAGGGCTCCCTCTTAAAGCACCGGCTCGTTTCGGGCAGCTCCCCTGTAGCAATGGCTAATTCATGCGGTTCAGGGAGTTAGGAAAGCCCATGCAGGTACGATTGATGATATGAATCCTGCAATGCCTTCATTCAGGACCCTAAGCTTTGGGAATTATGGTAGATTCCTTATTGTGGGTAATGCTGGATTTATATCATCAACAGTAAGACAACCACAGTTTGTTTCAGGGAGCGGTTGCGGTGTTGGCATGCAAATTCTCCTTTCTCCAAGTTGACGGCTTTCATCGCCTCAGACGGTCGTGGGAAACAGGTTCCCTGCAACAACCTGTGTCCATCCGTAGTAACGAATTATCGTAGAGTATGATTGACAGAACCGACGGTGCCTGCAGCCAAACCTTTAGAACCAAATGTAGGACTTGTAAGAACAAGTCTGGCTAGTGTTGGTGCTGAGGAAGCAGAAGCCCACCACTCCTGCGCTGAAGCGTGCTGTCGCTGGGGTCGGCCAGAGCCGCATCATGCGCGTGTGCCTTGTGAGGATTGAGGGATTTTCTTGAGACTAGGGGTGGCTTGTTGACTTATTGATGGGACCTCGAAGCCAGATTGTACCATCTAGTGTCAGGATGAGGCGGAGCAATAGGATCCTTTCGTTTCTGAAATTATCCATCTGACTTGCTGACAGTTTGCTTCTACGAACGGTTACTCGGCTACCCGAACGAACTCCAGTACAGCAAAAAGGAAAGCAAACCGCGTCGAATCGTGAGAGAGTTTCTGGGCTTGTCGGGGCTTGGCTTTGAGCTTTTGGGGTGCCAGGCCAGCATGTCCGCGTTGAAGAGAACATAAGAGAGCGCTTGCTAACCATTGATAATTATTGGGGGAGCTAAGGAGCCAGGGATGATGATAATCCCTAGTAGATAAGGAGCTAAAGAGCCAAGGGAACCCCAAAATCACTGGTTAGCTTGAGCAGGTGCATTCTGTGAGAACTTGAGTGCCACAGCCGAAGGCGAAAGCTGCAGACTTTCCGAAGCATCACAGGTCCCCTGATGCCGCGCAATCCCGAAATCCAGTCCAGTCTACCCCCTGCCTCCCCAAACTCTAGGGGTCTTCTCCAGCTGCGCCGCGGTCGAGGTATTCTGAGCTCTTCGAGACTGTAGGGCTCAAGATTGCGCAGCTTTTGGTGAGTGGCTTGCCAGCACAGTTTTATCGCCTGCGACAAGCTCAGTTGTCGTGACTGCAGGTCAGCGCGATTTCTTGGAGCAGCAACGCTGGGCCGAAATCCGTGACACGATAGCAGCATGTCTCGAAGCTAACGTGGTCCCAATCATCAATGAGAACGACACTTGGTCATAGTTGGGTAACATTTTACATTTCTATAGGTACTTAAACCCAATAAGGAATAAAAGTTTTGATTTTTTAATCCTACCCCAACCATTACCTTAAGGACCCTAAACTACGGGAATTATGGCATATTCCTTTTTATGATGGGTAATGCAAGATTTATATCATCAACCGTAGGACACCACCAACACGGATGGCATGCGGTTCGGTGACAATGACAACCTGGCAGCCCTGACTGCGGTGCAATTGGGAGCTGCTGGGGTGTTTCTCTTCACCGATGTGGACTACCTTTACACAGCCCTGACCTGAGATCTGAGATCAGGGTGAGATATTCGGGGTAGTACGGTTGATGATATAAATCTGGCATTACCCATAATAAGGAATATACCATAATTCCCATAGTTTAGGGTCCTTAAGGTAATGCAGGGTTTATATCATCAGCCGTAGATCTTCAGTCTGTGTTCCGCCGCAACTTGCACTCAGATCTCACTTCGAAGCTAGCAACGCTTGCGCCTTGCGCTGCAGGCGAATCCCAATGTAGATCCCTCTGCCGAGCCCATGAGGGTGGTCAACGAGGCAGCATGTCGCCCACGCACACGGAACCGAATCGACCCTAAACCTCAAACCCTAGCTTATCATCATCAGTAATCAGTAATAGCAATATTAGCAATAATAGTAATAATAGCAATACCCCTAAACCTCAGACCCTCACCCAAAACCTTGACCAGGCGTTCGAGCTAGACGTTGACACCCGCGAGCCGGGGTCTTCGTTGGGCACTGGCGGCATGGCAACCAAGGCGTGGCTCATGGGGTATCGAGGGGCTCATATCTAAATGGGAGTCTCCGAAAATATAGGGGACCCTGCATATAGTACCCTAAATAGTAGGAGCAATGGTGCTCTACTCTAGGGTTTGATTTTTGGGGTTTAGGGTTAGGATGGAACGTGCACTCTTTTGAACAAACTCTGCTTCAGCCCAGTTCAGAGGCCTGTATCAACAAAAGCTGGTGTGCAGGTGTCTGCAGCCCGGACGGCCCATTGTGCCGGTATCCCCTGCGGCATCTTGCACGGCAAGTTCCCTGAACGAATTTTCAGTTTCTTGAACAGGCTGGAAGAGGACAGATGAAACTCCCCATCGTTGCGCTTTGACGGTGACTGCTTCTTCTAGTACTTCGTGTTGTCCAGCGATGTAACTAGGATAAAGCTTTTCATCACACTTAAGAAATCTTAAGAAGCAGCGTTGGCCAAGCTGACTGGAGCCCCAGCACCGCAGATGCCCCTAAGCCTTTGATTAAGCCCCTCTAATCCCCAAACCCCTCCAGAGGCCGCAACCCCCAAGCCCTGAAGCCTAGACCCCGCTGGAAGGACAGCGACTCCACGCGGAACTCTCCGAAGACCGTGGTGAGCGCTACCGTCAGCGAGGTGGACAGCGCTGAGCCTGAGCCGGAAGGCACTCTCTTCGCAGCGCGGGAAGGCCGCTGGGATCTTCAGCTTGTGGGCTCCACTCAAAGTCAAGGGTACACCGTATGATATTGCATATGTGTGTTTGTGTATGTGTGTGTCTGTGTGTGTGTGTTTATGTGCAGTTGTAGCTACTTACTTCCATATGTCTGTAGATATATGCATATATTCATACACATATATACACAAGTATATTCGTGTACGTGTGTGTGTATATATATATATATGGAAGTAAGGGCTCCCTGTGTGGTGTCCTGTCGAAAAAGATTCCTCGTACTTACGGCTTCTATACTGGAATCCTTCTTCCGGCAGCACTCAAGCACGGTAAGAAGAGACTTCGAAAACTGCGTAGAGGAGCATGGGGGATGCCTTTTGAGCCTTTGACCCAAAAGGTATGATCCTTATACTAGATACTTAGTAGTCATTATTTGGGCTCCCAAAGTATATACTGTACTGTTACTTGGACAGTTTGATTTGAGGTGAGCAGAGGACGGAAGCTGAACGCTGGATTCTTAGCCTGCCCGTGGTCGGAGACGTCGATGTGAAAAATCCCGAGACTGGGCTTTGGAGTACCATATTTCAACACTTCGTTCTGTGGGCCTGTTACTTACAGGGAACCATTGTGAAACAAGAGTCTATACCATATACCCTAAATCCTAAACCCTAAAATCTGAATCCAAAGCCCTTTACCCTAAGTCCTAAACCTTAAAATCTGAATCCAAAGCCCTTTACCCTAAGTCCTAAACCCTAAAATCTGAATCCAAAGCCCTTTACCCTAAGTCCTAAACCCTAAATCCAAAACCTTAAGAAGCCCTAAGCCTGATTACTTCGAAGCCCCGGAGCCCCCCAACCCCGGAACCCTAAACTCTAAAAACGCTGAACCCTACTAAACCCCTTAAAGCCCGGTTGCTTCAAAGCCCAGGAAAACCCTAAACTCTAAAGCCTAAACCCTACTAAACCCCTAAACCCTACTAAACCCCTCAAAACCCTAAACCCCCCCCCAAAAAGACCCTTAAACCCTAAAAGCCTTAAACCCCCTCAACCCCCCAAAAAACCCTAAAGCCTTAAACCCTATTAATGTAGAAGCCTCAATAATTACCAATATTATGGTTAGGGTTCCTTATGATAAATATACTATAAAGGGGCCCCAAACCCTATTCTTTTTATTAAGGCCCCTACATTAAACCCCTAAACCCTAAACCCTAAACCTTAAACCCTAAACCCTAAACCCTTTAAAAGCCCAGGAGAGCCTCGAAAACCTGAACCCGGCGGAGCTTCGGACGACGCTCCTCGCGGCGGCGGCCGACAGCTTAGAGGGTCTTCAGAGCCCCTCTGGCCGAACTTTAGGGTTTAGGGGCTTCGGGTTTAAGGGTTTAGGGGGTTTAAGGGTTTAGGGGTTTAGGGTTTAGGGGTTTAGGGTTTGAGGGTTTAGGGTTTAGAGATTAAAGGTTGTAGTGCTAAACCTCATAAAGAACTTCCGGGTTTAGGGAAGGCTTTCCTTTAAAGGGATCTATAAGTTATACGAGTTCCTTATGTGAGACCCTCTGGCTAAAACTTTGAGAAAGCTGTGAATCAAGGGCTCTTTAAAGGGTTCTAGAGACCCTCTGGCTAAACTTGAGGGTTTAGGGGTTAGGGTTTAGGGTTTGAGAGGGCTTTAGGGTTTAAGGGGTTTAGGGCTTAAGGGTTTAGGGTTTAGGGCTTTATTGTTCAGGGGTTGTAGTGCTAAGCTTGGGAAAGGTGTCTATACTTAAAGGATCGGGGGGCTTTGTAACTTTAAAGAGCTCCTTAAAGGGTTCCATAAGGGATCTATCGGGGATTAGCGTTTTTAGGGGATCGGGGGACTTAGCAACTAGGGCTTTTCATACAGTAAATCTACTTGTACTTATAGCCCCAAATTAAAGTACTTGTAACCTTTCTTACTACCTCGTCCTAGAAAGGTATACTGCGCGCTATACCTATTCATGAACACCTTGTTGGGTGGCCTCGAAAGAACATTCTAGGTATCTATTGCAAGCAATTATCTGGTTTCTTTATTATGGAAAACATAACTGAAATTCCTGAAGAAGAGCCCAGGTCTCTCTGGCATTGCCCACGATGGAGGCGTCCGGATTTTCCACCAGAACTCCGAAGTGGCACGGATGCGGGTCAGCCTGGACGAGGAGGGCGCCTGCATCCCAGACCCCGAACCGGAGCAGAGCATCGTGCTCACGCCCGCAGCAGACTCCCTCTGCTGAAGCGAAGGAGGTCCTGATATCTATATCTTGGAGTCGCCATAATCTGGAGATGAATCTTGCCCCGACCTTGCAGCACAATCCCGATATATTCCGCGTGCACACAAGAAGTGCGCCTAATCCCAGCAAGGCAAGGTCGTTTGTACAGCTTTGCATCTTACCCTCCAGATCCTGTTTTGTCCCTGGCTGTTTGATACAGAAGGTCATGGGGGTAACAGACCAGGGCCAGTGCGATGAAGCAAATAAAGATGCATTCAATTCAATGTGAAGAATTGGGTCACATGCACGTGGGAGACATACCCGAAATCTAAAAGCGCGGGCAGCTTACAGCCCACGGTTCCCAGAGTTCAGTTTTCTTGCTTTCCGACGACCGCGTGAATGCGCGGTTCTGCCAGACAATCTCATTCTCCTGCAGCAGAAGACCTTATTTACCAGAACAGGTATGTGACGTATGGTAGAAGCCTTTCTTTTGCTAAGCCTCAGTCCTGTACATGTGCACGCCTGTGCGTGCTGCGAAGGTTTTCTGCAGGCAGTCTGTGTTTAGGACAGTCCGTGGCTGCTGTCACGGTGGCTCGCTCAGCGCACCTTGTGCGCGGATACTCCTCTCCTGGCAGCGGAAACGATGACAGGGTCTTTGTGAAGCACTAGCTACTGCTCTGACTGGCAATGCTGCAGCCCGAATCCATCACGCCTTATCTGTTTCGCGTGTGCAGTTCCAGGTGCAGCAGGGCACCGTTCCTGCCATGCAATTTTGCTCGCAGTTTCCTACAGAGCTGCAATTGACATGAATGGTCAGGTCGCCCAGAGCACTGCTGCCTCTCGGCGCAAGAAGCTCGTGGTGAGCAGTAGGTGATGGGGAGTTGAGCGGAGATGAAGACGGCTTAAGTTCCAACCATGCCGTCCTACGGCCAGTGAGTGCATCATTTTGGGGCGGGACGAAGGTTAGGATCAGAAGTTGGTGTTGACCAGTGCATGCTAGCTCACGTAGCAGATTTCGTATTCTGCAGTGTTTCCTTTACTTTGAACATGTTCTGATCCTGGTACATTCCAGGTCATAGCTGCGGCATTGCCCCCAAAGAGCCCATCACCCATCAATGAAAGAGCACGCCTTGAACTATTGCGAGCTTGATTCTGTGATGCAAGACACATTCCTCAATTCAGGGCCCTATCGAACGATTGTGATTATAAAGAAAAGGCGAAACCAGAAAACCAACAAACCTTATTTAGCCCGTAAAGCATATTCCTCCATGAAGGAATACTGAATATGAATCCGAACCCCTAGAGACCTGATACGTCCCTCAGGGGCATCTTCCTCAACGAAGGGATGTATGAAGGGATAGTAAACCCTTAACCTGACTGAACCCTCAAACCCGTATGAAAACCGTAGGGCATCTTCCTAAAGGGAAGGTTTTCAGGGCTTAGGGCTTAGGGTTCAGGGCTTAGGGCTTAGGGTTAAGGGCTTGGGGCTTAGGGTTGAGGGTGCTTTGAGGCGTGCCAGTGCCTTGCGAGCCTTGAACAACGATGGAATGGCAGCCGCGAAGAGCTGCAACTTGGCACAGGATGTTGGGATCTTAAGAATATGAATGTTGTCACTACTACACATTGTTCCGTTTCTCATATAATCGCGAACAGATCACGTCTGAAAGCCACTGAGTACCATAGAAAAGCTTCTGCTAAGTGCTCGAAAAGCTGTTCTTAAAGGTTTGTTTTGCTGGCCATGCAGTTGAACCGCACCCAAACCTTAGTCTGCGCAAACATTGCAATCCAGGTGTTTATACCAAAGACATGGTCTCGATTTCGGCATTGGCTGCATTTATCCTTGACATACTTCGTCTTCGACAGATAACACGTGCCGTTATGCGGTATGCTTTTTGTGCATCATCTTACATACAAGCTCTTGCGGAGTAGCGGAGTACCTGAAAGTGCCGTTTACCCTAGCCAGGCCAGCGGAGTAATTACTAACACACCAGGAGTGTGCTGTGACGTAACATAGCATGCTATTGATTGCGACAACGCAAAACAGATGCCAACATGCACTTTGCAGAACTCGGATAGAGCTGTCTGTGCATGCAGTTCCCGCCAGGCGTGAAGCCCTTGCCCCCAACGGTCCTGCAAGCTGTGGTTTGTGACTTGGCAGCACACTGTAAGTACCATTGACAAGTGAAGAGGCTGTTCTCAGAAGACGTAGGAATCATCAAGGTCAGCAAACTTGTTCCCATACATACATTGTATTCGATCTTGTTTGACTACATGCCACTATGGTATCATATGCATGATATGATTTGACAGAGCTATATGCAAATAGGAGTTTCCGAAAATAGGGGACCCGAATATAGTACCCTAAATATTAGGATCCTTACTATAAGGACCCCAAAATAAGGTACCCCTAATTTTCAGAAACTCCCAAATATATAGCATGCAGCACTACCTGCGGCTCAGCTTCTGGATGCTTCGAGGTCAGGACACGTCTGCGCATGCTCGGCAGGCCTGTGGCATTTGGAATTGCAGTATCTCGGGTTAAGGGCTTAGGGCCTCGTATCTTTGTCGTTAGCTGCAAAGAGTCGGCTGAGACAGTTCTGATAGCCCATGGGACTCTTGCTGAGACGTGGTGTCGAGGCCGCAATCCCGCTCCTGGCAATGCATCTTGAGGGCGAGGACATCGTGAAACTTAGACTTGGTTCACGGGCTTTCTGTTCGGAGGCCGCCCAGATATGGGCTTGTGCTTTATGCTTTCCGCGGTTGCTTCTTCGCATGCGCCGTACGCTTTCACGCCCACAGAGACTCAAAGACGCTTGGTCGAGTGGATATTACTGCTGAACCTCATAACCAGCACCCTGAATGTTCAATCGTGGGGTTTACGCTTAGTGGCTCAGTCCCACCAAGCAGCTCGAAAGCTTAATGCCTGTCCTCAGCATGCTTTCCCGTCGCCGTGCCATGTGGCTGCTGCTGCTGCTTTTATGGCCCTTCTGCCACGGTGGAGACAACAATCAGGATGGCAGCTTCGGCCGAATTAATATAGTACCTTAATACTATATTTGTAATTTGTTAGTATCATGGGAACAACAGGAGTGGCATAAGTTGGCTTTCTATGCGAGATGACACTGCTTCGTCCTGCACAGATAAAACTAGCGCGGCACGCGATCACTGCTAGCTGCGATGCTGTCGCCAGCAGACTCGGAATGTACCCTAAGCCCTTCTCCTTAAACTGTTTTGGCCTTTTCCATGTGTAAGCTCTATGGGGCAGTGCCTGACATTCTGGGATTCTTGAGTTGAGGGTGCATCGCATCTTTAAACCCTAACCCTGTAAAATCAAACCCGTGGCACTGTCGCTTGGAGGATCAGGGGACTTAGTAAGTGAGGTTGTAAGTACCCTAAGTGGGGCTATAAGTGTTTATATGTATGGTTACCTCATTTATAGCCCTGCTTAGAGGATCATGGGACTTAGTAAGTAGGTTATAATTGGGGTTATAAGTCCCCTAAGTGGGGTTATCCTAATTATAACCTACTTATAACCTTACTTGCTAAGTCCCATGAGCCTTCAAGTAGTTACTAAGTCCCATGATCCCTTAAGCGGCGGTTGCTGTGAGGATCGAAAATCGCCGGAGCCGGCCTGGAGCCGGGTCACTGGGACACTGTTTACTGTAGGGGCCTATATAAGTACCTAAGGGTTCCGTTAAGGGCTCCATTTAAAGTCTATAAACGGTCACTATAAGGGGTCTATAAGGGTATTATAGTATCATAGAGGGGTTCTATAAAGTGCTTTCTAGAAAGGCCTCCATAACGGGTTTCGCGATTTTCAGGGTGTAGGGTTCGGGCTCGGGAATTATTACCAACGTTATTCCCGAGTCCCCCTTATCATGTACCCCCGAACACGATTCTACTTATGAAGGCCCTTATATACATTTTTCGAAGCCGAGTCGGGGTGCGCTGCAAGCTTCATAAGCATCAGCTCCCTAAAGCATATATGCAGCCAGGGCACTCGATGGCTACCCGTTGCTAGTAAGATTGGTGATGTTGTTATCATTATGCTCTTGTTACTATCTTTTACTACTATTGTTACTTGGAGGATCAGGGGACTTAGTAAGTAAGGTTATAACTGCCCTAATTGGGGTTATAAGCAATTATAAGTATAGTAACCTTATTTATAACCCTAGTTACTAAGTCCAATGATCCTTTAAGTACTATCCTGTTCATTATGAGAGCATCTTCTCCCGGAGTTGCTGCAGTCTTGTATCAGCCAGGCGAAAGTGTGGTCTACGCGCTGCAAGTCAGTGAGCCAGAAATTCGTCACCACTGCTTCTACCGGAGGATGAATCTCAGCTGCCCTTCCGTTTCCCTAAACCCTAAAACCCTAAACCCTAAACCCGAAAACCCTAAACCAGGAGCTGGCTTGCCTGGTGCAGGCCTTGACCTAGGCAGTGATCTGAAATCCGCGGCCTTCTGTTCAAACCGTTGTCGTCGGAAGAATTAGCAGGATCTCCCCCTTACTTAGAGAGCCAATGGGGGAACTTTAAACTTTTTGGCCTTATATATATATATATATATATATATATATATATATTTATATATATAATATATATATATATATACATATATATATATATTTGGTCTATCTTAGACAGTTCAAACTTTTTTGGGCCCGGTTATTGAAGGAGAGAGCTGACGGCCCCCCCTAAGTGTTCTATGGTATACCTAATATACCCCCTAAACCCCCGATTCCTGCGAGCGACTCTGCAAGGAAATACACCCCGGCATTGATTTTTGAGCTTCCTTCTCACGAGTCGGACGTCTTCGCTTGCCAGAGGAGGCTCGCGCAAGGGCAGACGGGGGCGGGGGTCTTGGGTTTGGGGTTCCAGCGTTACTACAGGGGCCTAAATTATTAGCCATACTTGACGTTTTTTATTTTTTTGGGGGGGTCTTGGGTCTGGATTTTTTTATGTTACTACAGTGGCCTAAATCATTACCCATACTTCATTTTTTGGGGGAGTCCTTAGTATAACTAT